TGGTGAGTCATATTTCATTTAATGATCCAAGCTTTAAATAATTGACAGAAGTCTTAAGAGAAAAAGCAGAACATCGTCATTTCTAGAGTTCACTTCTTCTGTGACCAGGCTTTATATCTGAACTCTGCTGCAAGGAGTTGAGAACATAAAGTCAACATACATGATGGGGAGTCTGTCTGTGTTGACATAACAAAATATTCATAGAAAACTCTTTTCCATTAAGTATTAACAATGAGCAAAATTTATGATCACATGGTCTTTGTTTTGGAGAGATTCTACCTGAAAGAAAAGACACTTATGTGGTCATTGCATAGAATCTGAAGTATATAAAGAGAAGAAATTGTGTATGAGCAGGAATTCTACATATGCCTTATTTGCAAGACATTGTGTGTGAAAATTGTAATTATATTAGTTGACTATGGACTGTTTTATTTTATTGAAGAAGCAAAAAGTATTTTAAAATTTTTGATGGTATATGTTCTCCAAGGTGAAAATTATCCTGGTAAGTAGGCTCTTGATATTTCACAGAATAAATTGATGAGGGGAAATAAATGTTTGTGGTGCAAAAGAGCATATTTGCTTCCCTTGACATGGGAAGTATCACCAGTCCTACAGACCAGTGTGACTATATTCAGGATGGAAAAGTAAAAGTATGGACTTCAGGAACTGGACAGTAAAGGGCTGAAATTTGATTGACTAGCCTGCTGCTGTTTTGGATTAGTCACTGGCTGCAGCTCCATGAACTGCAAGTATTGTGGCTTGGCCTTGCTTGCTGCAAGAGTACCAATGGTAATGAAGATAATCCTCCTCTATTACCATAAAAATGATTGTCTTTTAAAAAGCTTCAGTAGAGAACTAGAAGTACACAAGCATAAACATGGAAATAGTTTGTAGAGCAGAAAAGCAATGGTGACAAATTGTTCTTTATAGACATAACATGTATGGCACTAATAGAGGAATGCCTATCTACTGGATATGTTTTGGCCCTTCCAGAGGTTTTAGCCATCATGGTCAATGGGAAAGGACCATGTGAGCTGTATTCCAAAATATTTGGAGGGCCGAAGTTTCCCTAGGTCAGGAGCACACAAGCAGTGCAAGGTGAGGCTCTCTGAGAAGTACCAGTAATGATACCAAACAGGGTTTCATCCTGGAAGTCAGCTTCATTCTGCGTTAGCTGTGATTTGCATTTGTTTCTGTCAAAGTGTATCTCCCAACATCATAAAAGCAGCCCATGGCTGTTTCAAGCAATGGCACATTACATAACTTTAACCTGAATGTGATTACCATGCTACTCAGACTGTTCTACAAATTTAGTTGTACTAAGCTGGAACTGTTTTTGTCTTCTGTGCAAGTTGTTTAAAATAAAAGTACATTTTTTAAAAACACACACACACACTTCAGTTCAACATGATAAAGGGGAATCAACTTAAAGTGCCCTTTGGAAATAGTTACTTGTCCCAACAGCAGTTCTCTTATATGTTAATCACCAAAATGCCCAATGATGCAGAAATCGCATGCAAAGTCCTCTAGCCTCAAGGTAGGAAAGCCTATGCAAAGGGAAGCAAATCAAGCTCTTTGCAAACACTCCATTCAGATGTTATGTCAGCGTGTTCAGATGGGCATCTTTTTATGTAGAAAAGTCTCAGCAAAGCAAAACATTGGGGGGGGGGAGCCAATATGCTCCGCTCCTTAGGTATTAACTGAATACACTGCCATAATGGCTGTAAGGCTTTATAATTTTGTGTAAACCTTTCATGTCATAGCTGATTATTCATGCAGCATCTTCAGCTTTAAGGAATAAAATATCTGGTCAGTCCTTGCATCTTGTGGGAGAAGTCTCAAGTGTAGTCATAGGTCCGAAAAACGAACAGAGTGACAGATCTGTTGGCAGAGGATTCAAAGAAAGGCTAAGATCAAGGAGCCTCATCCATGCTCCTCTCTTCTCCAACAGAAGTGAATATGCCAGAAGGACAAGGCTTAGGCAGGTTTCAAAATGTTATTCTTTATATATTTTTTCAAAAGGTGTAAAAACGGAGGAAGATGAGCAAGTCACTGGAGCAAAGAGAGAATACTGACAAAAAATAAGGGTGAGGAATGCCAAGTAAAACTGTCCTCCCCTGGTAACAACATGAGACAGTGTAGCCTTGTCATTATTTAGGGCAACAGTGGGTAAACTTCAGGCTTGTAGTTTATGGTTTGTTTGTTTTTACTAAAACCCCCAGATGCAACAGCCCATGTAGATCCAAAATTACGGTGGACATAGGCAGACTTGTATAACAAATTATGTAACATCATAATGCTTCTAGGAGAATGCTCTTTCTGGAAGCCTGTGATCAGCACCAGACTCACACTAACTTTCATTAATTTGCAGGACTCCTAATTTGCAGTAAATATGTTTGCCTAGAACTCCTCCAGAAACAAACACATTTGTGAGCAACCTGAAATAATTGAAGATCAACAGGCCTGATTTCCATGCACAATTTGTTGTGTGAGGCACACAGTAGGAAACTGCACTTCACATGAATAGTATACCCATGGCTGGACCCACATTTAATCAAAGCAAACCTATTGAAATCAATGGGATTTTAAATTAGTGATTAATAGAACTTAAAATATCAGATATAAATGTGCAAGTCATGCTGTACACCATGCTGGATGTGGTGTCTTACCTCAGTAAAAAAAATAAAAATAAAAAAATAAGGCAGCCATTCACAAAAGTACCTTCCTGTTATCCACAAGCTGAATGACCAGATAAAAAAGGGAACCATGAGATGTTTTTGTTATACCAATTAAAGCATCCAGCTTGAAGATGAATAAGGATTTCCTTAGACATATTCTCACATTATCACACAACTGAAAATAGTATGCAACCCCACAAGAAAACAACAGATTCTGTGTTAATGGTTAATAATGCTAAAACCATTAGCATCTTCAGTCAAGAACGTAAAATTTAGAAGAAATTCTTTCACCATTCTGGTTGTGGATCCAATGGGTTAAAGGACAAGCAACTCATGTTTCAAGTAGGTGCTCGAGTTTACTGTAGTGCCTGAGCCAAATACTCAGAGACAACCAGTTCATCCAAAACACTGGCCCAGAGTGCCTAAATTTTGCCACTTTTCTCCCCAGTCCACTGTTGCCCATGACCTCAGATTAACACATCCTCCATTACCTGACTACTTTCACGGATAGACAGAGCCTCTCGTTATCTAATTGGAAATACTGGCCCACTTTCTTTATTCTCTCATTATGTACACTCCTGTTGCTATCCATGCACAAAGCCCCAGATCCTATGCCCTTTCCACAGCACCCCTTCCTAATCCTGCTGCTATTATTATTTCTCTTGCCTTGGATCCCTCTCTCACTTCTTTCTCTCTGTCTTTGCATGGGGTGATCCTGTACATATCCCGAGATGAATCACTGGGTCCAGTAGGAGACTTACTTGCTTACTGCATGAGGTACTGCAGCCTTGACGTACCTCATGACCAGCCACTCCCCAAAATTGAAAGCATTTGGAAAATGCATCAAATGAACAAAATTAGGCCTCGTTGTTTGGCCAGAACCATAGCTTAAGAGAAGCAAATAAGCTCTGCTCTCTTTTGCTGCCCAGGTCTTGGATCACCAGGCAGCAAAATTTCACAGCTGAAGAAAGACAAGCTCACTTGCATTGTACTGACCAAAGCCAGATGCAAAGCCTGGCCAAAGGGAACAACTGTATATGTCTGCCTTTACTCTCCTGATGGGCAACCATACTCTGCTTTCTTCACTGACTCATGGGACTTCATATTACAGCATAATGGAATTATACTGTGTCTTTTCCTGAATTGCCCATTCTCTGATAGTAAGGGTGAGCACAAAGGAACAAAGCAGTTAATAGCGAAGCCACATAGTAATCCCAACTGCAGCATGAAGAAAAAAACGCAAAGTATGCTGCCTACAATATATACTGCCGCACCTTATAACACTCTTTGGATGGTTTACAAATTAATTATTCAGGCTACACATTGCCTTCTGCACCCCAGCAAGTTGGGTATTCAATTTATTGACCTCAGAAGGATGGAAGAATGAGTTAACCTTGAGCTGGCTACTTGGGACTGAACCCAGGTCATGAAAAGAGTTTGGCTGCAGGAAAACCACTGCACCACGAGACTCCTAGGCACGAACTGCAACATTATACATACATTAGAACCTCTAATGTCTAACTCAGAAACTTAAGCAGCAAAACACATGGGTGGGTTCTTTGCCATATTACTGAAGCAGGAGGAAGAAAGAGACAAGCTGTGTGGAAGATTCAGTCCATGTTGGAAGGTGACCCAACATCTTCTTAAGAAAGCAGCAGAAACAAACTTTGTATCAAGACAAAGAACATGTAAAAGAACTACAAAATCAACACAGGTCAATTTATAAGTGTATCTTCACTACAGCATAATGTTGCTTTCCCCCCTAATAAGGGGCAGAGGTTCTTAGACCATACAACATAACTGGAAATCTTGCAAATTATCCTCCAGGTTTAATTTAAGGTATTAGCTTTGATCCACCTGACCTAGGCACACCTGCTGCAAGAGACATTACTATGTATGAGTCTTTGCACCATCCACTGGGTAGATACCACTAGTAAGATAAATCTTCAAGATTAAGCTTCGATTTCAGCAGCGTTCTTGTGTGTTCCACCTCCTTTCCCAACAAAATCTGGCTTTGCCCAATATGGCACAATTTTTTAAAACTTCTTTTTCTGTTATTAGTTGGAGCTCTTTTTAACTGTTGCACTGTAATAGTTTTTACTGATTTCTTAAGGCACAATGTGACTTATTCTGATAACCTTTCCCCTCTTCTTTATGCAGCTATATAACAAAATAAAACATCAGAAATATACTCAAGAGTGACAAGTTTCCAAAATAAATCTGGGTATACAAAGTGCATTGAAGTGTGTGCATGTGTGTAACTGGCAGAAAGATTCAGTTTCATAAATTACTGGAATAAAACAAAATTCATTTGAAGCTACATAAATTAAACAAAGGAATGTTTAATAAAGACAATCCTTATTGAGCTTTAAAATTTTAACAGACGTTTCTCCATTCAGGGATTTGTTTTATTGGAAAGTGTAAGTCTACTCCCACATAGTGAGGTCTTTTCTTTCAAGCAGCTTTGTAGTACAATTGTTACTAGGTTTCTAAACCATAGACATCATAAAGAAATTGTTTCATACTGACAGTTTTCAACTAAAAAGTTTTAAAAGTGGCATTGTATTGGTTTTATCTGTGCTTTCACAAAATAGCAAGCAATGAACAACATGACAACAGTCAATATCTCAACTAAAATATCAAATCTAGACCAAACATTATAGGTACATACAATACTTGCACAATGACAAGCACAACAAGACTAGTTTCAGTACTTAAATAATGTCCAAAATCAATACTAACACTTAAAATCCACTCAAAACCTTCCACAGCCTCCCATCCAATAGGGGAGTTAAAGCATATTTGCACAAACAGAACTCACTATATTGGATGAGAGAAGTGAAATTCTTTTTCCCCCCTAGAAGACTGTGTTTGTACTGACATGATAGTTAAACCAGTGTTAAACCAATACAATATTTACATAGCACAGCACAGCACATTTGAGACACTCACTTAAGGATGAAGCCCACATTTTGGAACAGGACAAAGACCACCATGATTACATGTTTGGAAGCTATTTACAGGGCCTTAATATTAACTAAGTCTGTACACTGGTCCAAGAGGGCAGACAAGAGTATGACGGGCCTTTACTTTGTGAGGGATTCAAAACATGATTTGGAAGCACATAATTATGCTACCCGGGATGCCAAGTTTCGCCCTAAGCTTCTCAAAAGTGGTCTCATTTCTCAAAATGGCAGGTCCAGCTGATACTTTTTTTTTTAAAAAAAGTTTACTTTGTGATGATACTGACAATTTCTATCCAGATATCTGAAATTTGAAGGAAACTCGTCCCAGAAACTTGTCACGGTCATCTTCACGTTCCAGATTTTTTGATCCTTTGATCTTGCATTCAACTGTTACATCTTCTTTGGTACTGGTTGTGTTAAATGTTAGTTGAACAGCCACTAGTGGCTGTAAGTAGCCAGGCTGATTAGAAAGAAATGAAGAAAGGCAGGTCAATTTTTTAAACACAAAGCTACCAAAAACAATATGTAGCTCCTCACACTTTGTTAGGGAGACCTGAATATCTTAAGTTTTCATTCTACAAAAGGATAAGGGGCACAACTCTGGGTGGTGTTGTGGTGAACATATTGAGCCATGATGTGATCCTTTGGGACACTGGGAACTAGTAATCCCAAATAATTTTTGCTTTTTTTAAAAAAAATCTACCAGGTTTACCACCTTATCAATACATTGATACATTTGTTTAGAACTAGATTACCTCTGCACATCAAAAAAAGAAAAAAAGAAAGGAGAGCCAGAGGTTACCAGGTGAGCGGTATCAAAGGACAGGAACATTTTGCGACTGGAGCTGTTCATAACTCAAAATGTTCATAGGTTGGGATGTTTGTAAGTCAAAGCACTACTGTACTCCCGTAGTCCTGACAAAAGCTAGGTACATATGCATAATATTTTAACAACAGATGCTGACGTTTGACAGAGATGAGACCTCACCATCATATGTTTCTTGTGAACTGAACAATGGCTCCTTGGCCGGCCATTTACAAGAATGAGTGTTAGCTATAACCTACTACTGGCTTGTTTCACCCCAAACTAACAGAAATAAATTGTATTAGTAATAGATTCAACACAAATTGAAGTAGCTGGTCTGTCATAGCAATTTTCAGCTAAGGGAAAGTGTAACTGAATGACAGTACTTAGCAAACCTAGCTTGTTTTCCCCCCTCAAATTGCTGCCTCTGTGAAAATAGAGATTTAACAAATGCACAGTAAAGAAATACTCACATGTAGGCGTTTCCCATAATATGGGAAATACATCAAATCAATAAATCCATTGTCAGGAAAATATTTTATCTCAGCCTTGCCTTCTTCCTGTAGAATCAATGTATCCAAACAACAGTTGAAACAATGCATGACATGGAAAGGCATTTATAACACAGGGCTACAGAAAGTGGGAATTATGCTACAATTATTGCTTCAAAATACAATAAACTAATTTTAATCTTTACTTACTGGTAAAGACCTGCAGCTATAATATAAAACTAATTTAAATCATGTTCTGTTAATCAGCCATGGTTATATAACACAATGGACTGGTTTTATTTCAAGAATTCCAAACTTCAACACAGATAATAAAATAGGAAAGAAAAACTCGAGAAATCTGTAGCATTTTACATTTATTTGTGGAGTATTCTCTAATAAACTCATAATGTACATTCTGTTGCAAGCTTAACTTTTATTTTTCTACAGAATTCTGTATTTTAAATTTGCTTAAACCCAAATCTCAGTACGGGAACAGACATTCTTCATATGAAAGCAGCCAATGCAAATCTGCTTTCAAGGTTGAATCCTACACGTGCAAGGACCTACTATGAAGGAAAAATCACCACAGGAAGCTGAGAATGGAGATAAGAGGCTCCTACAACCACACATCACCCCCCTCCCGGTCTCCTGATTTGCTACATTGTAAGTTGTTTTTGGACCATGGTTTTCTTACACTGTGACTGTTTTAATGTGCTTGCATTTTATCTGTTAAACCTCCCAGAATAGTGATTTCGCACTAATAGAGGTGGTGTGTGTGTGTGTGTGTGTGTGTGTGTAATCCACAGCTGTAGAAGGAAAAGTTTAGAGTTCTGCATGAGTATCACATTTAATCCATTCCATAAGAAGAATACACAAATTCAGTGAATGCCTGAATGTACTCTATTAGCTACTAGTCTGTCTCAAAAGACAAAGGGTGAGTGTGTGACTTCTACCGAACAAGGCTTGTCAAATGGCACAGGATCAGGAATTATATGGAATCAGGAAGCTAGCTACCAGAATACAAGTGAGAATGCTGCAGAAGAGTACATTACTGTGGTCCACCCTTGCTAAGTATTACATATATAATATAAGTATTACATATGTAAGTATTACATATATTACACCAAGCAGCAATTTGTAGAACAGGACCAAGAGAGCACCCTATAAATATAATGAAGATTTTCAGCAGATAGCTTGAACCAGGGACCAAAAACTGTGGCTTTTCTGATGCCACCAAACTGCAACTCCTTATGCTCCCTAGGACTGATAGGTGTGGTGGTATAATGGGAGTTGAAATAGTAACCTCTGCAGCCATTCTCAGTGGGGCCCATATGGCCCCCTGGGGGCCCTGCCACATTTGAAGAGGCCACAGACTAGAAACAATACTTCACACACTACCCTATAAGGTTTGTTATGCAACGTATACAATCCTAATTCAACCTATATTTCTTTCATATTGTGTTTATGGCTGTGCCCAAAAAAGATTGAGAATGGCTGCTCTAGAGGACCAGTTACACATTCCTGATTCAAATCATGTGAGATTTCAGATGTACCAAACTGTTAACAGTAGATCAGGTGAAGTATCGAGTTATACATATATGTGTTTGTTTGTTGAGAAGATAAAAAGCTGCTGGTGAAATATGAAGATTAGTTTTTTAAAAAGTAGGAATTAAACTGCTTAGAACACAGATTGTGCCACCAAATGATATCTTTTCACAAAAGTAAAGTAGAATATTAATGAAAAATATTTCCATAGCTGGGTGGGTATTTGAACCCTGGCCTATCACATTACCCACTACCACATTGGGCCCCAGACAAATTTCAGAATAGTAATTTCAAAAAGTCTGGCATATCATGTCGATGTGGAAGCTCACAGTAACTGCACTGTGCATTTGCAAAATAAATAGGGAAAAAAGAAAAGAAAAGCTGCAGACTGCAGGAAAGAAGATCAAACATGAAATGAATACAGCCAAAAAACAAAGTCACAACCTTGAGTCTGGAACACCTGAGCAGGGCTATTAATGACATGGCCTTCTAGCTCCTAGAATTTTCATAGGTTGGAAATGACTCAACAGTACAGAACAATTAGGGGAAAGGAAAGCTATCCTGATATCTATGACAAAAAAAAGGACAACTATTCACAATTTTGTGAGCCAGGAAAGGTTCAGTCCAATTAAAAATTATAGAGTTAATCAACTCAATCAGAAGAAACATGTGATACCAAAAATTTGTCGGAGACGTCTCCTGCCGTGCACAAAGGGTCCAGAACTCACTGCAGTACAGGAGTGTACTCAGGACATAGTCTCTATAGATCTTGCTCTCTCTCTCTCTCTCTCTCTCTCTGTGTATATGTGTCTGTGTGTGTGTGTGTGTGTGAGTGAGAGAGAGAGAGAGAGAGAGAGACTGGAGCACATTTTGCTCAAACTTTCATACTGGAATGAGACTTCTAATCACAGGTACCCTGACACTTTTGTCTGTGACCTTCACAACTGCATTTACACCCATAAGCATACAATGAAACATTTTGAATAATTTTTATTTATACTAATGAAAGTAAGATTATAAAGATAATGAAATGTGTTCACAAGTCAACAATTTAACAGTGCAAACACTAACGTATTCCAGTGCTCATTTTCTTACCCATCATAAATAAATTGTGTAAGATGCATGTGCAGCATGGAGAGAAAAATAAAACATTGGTTATGAAATGAAACAAATCAAAAATTAAATTAAATTAAAATATTTAATAACTATTGATAAAATTAATAAAATGTGTATTATAAAATAAATATGAAGAAATATTTTATTCTCAATGAAGACTATGAACACAAAATAATAAATTTGATGAGCTGTTCAATCAAAGAATAATGACTTTTATTTTTTAAGGAGTAAACTAAGCACTAATAAGAGAGTATTTTTAATTGATTGTTTTCCCATTGCCTTTAAGAACACAAGAATATGCGCATTCTTTTAACGTACTTACCTTAGGTCGACAGACTATCTGTGGCTTTCCTTCAGGGATTAATCCAATTATCTGAAAGGCAGAAAATAATTTCCATTAATTGCCTTTCTGGATGAACTGAGTAAATTTCACAAAGTTACAGCAGAAGTTATACAGTGAAATATTCTAGAACTCTCACAAATAGAGATGGGAGTATTCGTATTCATATTAGCCAGTAACAGAATGACTAATCCATTTCAAGCAACAGAGAGATAGGAAGGCTCCATCGGGCTCACATCAGCAGCAGAATCATGACTGGACCTTCCAGCCCCGTAGGCCCGTACCCTCATTATCACCACCTGTAGGGGATATTTGTATATGAATATAAATACCCCCACTACTACTCACAAATACTCTATCTCATCAATAATTATCAGGTGCTATCCATTTAATTCTGACATATGGCGACTCTTTGCAGAGTTTTCCAGGTACAGAAGTGGTTTACCATTCCCTTCTTTTTAAAGCATCCTGGGACTGTGCAGCTTGTCCAAGGCCACACAGGCTGGCTCTTCTCCCTGGAGGCACAGTAGGGAATTGAACTCCCAACCTCTGGTATCCACTAAGCTATCCAGCCAGCTCTCTCTCTCTCATTCCACTGGTAGATTGTTCCTATGATTCATTATTAGTTTAAACAAAAGTTAGTGTTCCCAACTTCAAACCAATATATTCAGACTTTTAAGAGCTAGGAAATGAGGGACAGAGCATTACAAGTTCAGCAATGCCAAAGCTATCACTTTCAATATCAGTAGATACCATCTATCAGTAGATACCACCACATGCAATTCCATGCATATTGCCTATTCATGTGCCTACTGAAAGTAAAGAGCTTTAGCATGCTAGATCCACATGTAAAGCCCCTTGCCTCCTTTGTCAGTAAGACCTAGCAAGGGGACCAGGTCAAACACTGCAATCTCATTATGTTAACTCACTCAGTCATGATGTGCAAGAAATTTGCAATTAATTCATTACCTCTGCAATGGTTACAAGGTAAAAAAATGGTGTCCAGTAAAAAAAACGGGGGGGGGGGCGGCGATTCAATAAGGAGTTTGAAGATTGAGGTTTTCCACTATCACAGAGGTTTAAACTAAAGTCACAGCAGCACTTGACAGTGTTACATGTCCACGTGACTTCAAGCAGCAGCAGTAGTTCATTACTTCAAATTAGGCATGTAACATTAATGGCTGAATCCAGATGGCATATGCAAACAACATGTCACATAACATGTAGTCAACTGCCAAAAATGAAATGCTGAACTACAAATAAGTCTAGTGCAGAGTTTTCAAGAAATCAAATCACAGGCCTCCACTTTCTTTTTCTAGAAAGACAAATTGGCGCTATGTTGCATATGCTTTATGAAAACTTTTTTGTCAATGAGTAGATAATTTTTATCATCATCATCATCTTAGACCTGAAGAGCTGGAAGGGACCCTATGGATCACTGAGTCCAGCACCTGTCAAGCAGGCACAGTGAGGAATTGAACTCCCAACCTTTGGCTCCACAGCCACGTGGATTAAACTACTGAGCTATCCAATAGTTATTTTTTTATGACACAGGTGGGCTATTGCTCTTAAAAGTAGCTACAGTATACTAAGATCTAGCCCAGAAATACACACCTAGTATAACTACTGTTTTAAAGTCAGAAGTTGCATGTTTTTCTAAATAGCTAGGAATTAAAGTGTGGCAAAACAGGACAAAATACCCATCTATTTAATAAACCATTAATATAGTCAAAGTGAACCTGATATTCCAATGACAAGATAATTCAAAAACCTCTTCACCAATTTCAGGTGTGACAGCAGCTCTAAATGTCTCCTGAACTATACATGGGGAGCACTCTTCACATGGAATTTGGCTGTTCTGTATGTGCATGGAAAGCGTACACAAAGGCCTGCCTTATAAAGAGAGGTTACTTACCTGTAACCATGGTTCTTCAAGTGGTCCTGTGTGAATCCACACAAATGGGTTTAGTATGTGCTTGTACTGGGCTCCTGGAAATATTCTAGAGCTTAAAATAAGTAACGTTAATAACATGTTGCCTCCTATCGCGCATTCTGCACCCGCCCGTTATACCTCACTTCGATGTGTCTGCCGCTGTCAAACCTCTGAACTTCATAAAGCTAAGACAATACGTGACGGACAGTGGGGACGGTGGGCGGGATGTGTGGGTTCACAGAAGACCACTTGAAGAACTATGGTTACAGGTAAGCAACCTCTCTTTCTTCTTCATGGCCTCTGTGAATCCACACAAATGTGTGCCGTCACATCAACAACGAAGTCAGCACAGCTCTCCCGAAACTTGCTTCCTCCTTGCTTCCACCACCAAACAGTGGTGTGTTACAAAGGTGGATGGAGTAGACCATTTGGCTGCTCTGCAAATGTCTGAAACGTCAACACCACGCAACAGGGCAGTTGATGTCGCCATGGCTCTTGTACAATGTACCTTTAACGGTTCTGGCAGGGCCTTGCCAGCCAGTTCATAGGCCAGAGCAATCGTAGACACAACCCACCTTGAAATTGTCTGCAAGGATGCAGCACAGCCTTTATGTGGACCATGGAAGCAAACATATAACCTAGGAGAGGTGCGAAAGTCTTAGTTCTGGATGTGTAAAATGCCAACGCACGGTGAACATTTAACAAATGGAGTATGCGCTCAATGTCTGAAGGAGGATCAGGAAACAACATTGGTAAAGTCAAGGGTTGATTAACATGGAAACTTGACACAACTTTAGGAAGAAAGGAGATGTCAGGATACAGAATCACTTTATATGGAAAAAACTGTAGGTAAGGCGGATCAGCCCGGAGGGCAGCCAATTCACTTGCTCTCCTTGCAGAAGTTATTGCAACTAAGAATAAAGTTTTGAAGGACAGCCGTCAAAAGTCTGATGAAGCCATAGGTTCAAATGGAGGATGTGTAAGGGCAAAACAATTTGTAAAGACCACTGAAGCAGCAGAGGTCAAGTGGGTGGGCCGATATTATGCAGGCCTTTTAAGAACAGCTTCAGTGTTGGGTGTGAAAACAAACATGATGATTCAGATACAAGAGGTTAGTAAAAAAAAATGGCTGATATATAAACTTTTAGAGTAGAAAAGGCTAAGCCTTGGTCGAATAGATGGTGCAAATAGGTGAGCAGAGTATTAAGGTACACCGGTACAGGTTGCAAATTTCTAGACTCAGCAAATTTTAGAAAACTGTTCCATTTTCATGAATATAAGAGTTTTGTAGATGGTTTTCTCGCCTTGTCTAGAACCTTGTTAATCATGTGAGAATCCTCCAAGCTGTCAAGTGTAGTGAGTCCAGATCTGGGTGGCAAATATTGCCTGCATCCTGCGTGAGCAGATGTGGCAGAGCTGGCAGTCTTAGGAACTTGGTTGCCATCATTTTGAGCATGGTAAACCATGGTTGCCGAGGCCACCATGGTGATATAAGAATGGTGTTGGCCTGTACTTGACGAATTTTGATTAGTGTTCTCTGGATGAGCAGGATGGGAGAAAAGAGGTAGAGGAGGCAGTCCTTCCATTCCACCATGAAGGCAATGATGCTTTGCCTCTTCCTGCTCGAGAGCAGAACATGCAGCACTTGGTTCGAAATCAAAAGCCAGGAGACAACGCACAATCCAAGTCCAAAAGGCAAAAAATCATAGTTGATAGGGAATCCAAGATCAAACCCTTAAAGATAGGAGGATAATCAGAATACCAGACCAAAATCAAAACCAGAAAAGACAAGAAATCACAAGCTCTAGGATGAGAAGTTCCTATCGCAGTGGAGGTAAAATGGAACTGAGGTATAACGGGCGGGCGGAGCATGCGTGATAGGAGGCAACGTGTTATTGATGTTACTTATTTTAAGCTCTAGAATATTCCAAAGAGTCAAGCACAAGGGCAGACTAAACCCATTTGTGTAGATTCACAGAAGCCACGAAGAACAGAGTGACTGCAAACCTCACCCAGGGAAAGCAAACTTTGAAAAAAGTTGCCAGCAAAAAGATCTGGGAGTCTTAGGAAATAAGAAAGAGTTATTTAAACTTACTCTATTCATTTTTACAATGACACATGGTGTTCCTTTGTCATAGCCAAAATTTTCATCCTCCAGTCCAGAACACGATTTCAGTTGTTCACGATCAAACCTGCATGCTGACTTATTAGTAGAAGCTTGTATAAAGAGGCTTCCTGAAGTACAATTAATGTTTTTCTCTTGCTGTGATTTATTATATGCTAGGAAAAACAATGAAGTTTATCATATTATCTCATTAAATACATACACATAGGGCAGAATCATTTAACAAAATATGTTTGAGATATATTTTCACACTTTAAAATAATTATAATAATGATGCATCTTCTTCAGTATTTATAGTTGAGCATTTTTTTCTTAATGCCAGTTGAAATACAGAAGGGATTAGGTAAAATAAATGATTTCAAGAGCAGTGGATATGATGGAAGAGATTGAAAGAATCAGTTTCCATTACAAATAATTATTAAGACTCTTGTAGCATAATTCAATGGCATTCAGTCTTCAAATTCCAAAAGCCATGCATCCGGATAGGTAAACAACACTCTCCTGTCAATCATTTGAATGCCCACTTTGCAGAAAAGAATAGCTCAGAAACAACAGGGATCCAAAGGCAACACATGAACAGCTGTTGGTTCGCCTAGTTGCACCACAATCTTAAATAATCAGAAATGCTGTTAGTTCTTTAGCTCTGGTGCTTGACCCAAAGTACAAACATCAGCTTTGGAAGCTCTGCTGTACTGTGAGATGGGAGGCAAGACTGTGACACCTCTCACCTGAGTGCCATCCATTCCAACAGAAGGGGGGGACACACCAAGACAATTGAAAAGAGAGAGTTACATAGGGAAGAGCTCCCTAGGGGAGATCTCAGGAAAGAGACTGAAAGTAAACAAGATATGGTAGAAACATTAGGGGAACAGTTGGAAAAGGCAGGAAGAAAGATAGAGAAGGGGAAACTGCCAAAAGAGTAGGAGAAAAAGAGAGTTGGAGGAAATGAACATATAGAAGAGGAAGGAGTGTCAAGAGGAAGCAGAAGCAGGAGGAGAAAGTCAGAGACAACCAAAGATCCTCCCCCTCAGGGTGGGAATGGATATGACTGGAAAATGCCTGGACCCAGAAGTGGGAAATACTTATGATCCTTAGAGAGAAGACAGCAAGGAGAAAAAGAGAACAAGTCTCACAGAAACCCTACTATTGGGGAGAGAAAGGCCAGGGAGTAGGGAACAAAACTGAGAGAGGAGAAAGCCAAGATACAGAGAGATAAAGGTGAAAAAGGGCAAGATGGATGGCGCTACATGGGACCTGGAGGAGAGAATATCTGAGACCTGAGAGTTTTACAACCCAGGAGAGCAGATGAGGAGAGGAGGATACCCAGGAGAAACAACCATGCCCCTGAACTTGGTATCATCAGAGCCAGCAGGAAGAGGCTGGGACCATTCTGGATTACAGTGACCTTGGGACTGTAACAATGATAATCCATTTCTCAATCCAGAATGAAACCTCTTCACCCACTAGAATGAGAAAATCAACATTAATACAACATTGATGTACTGTACCTAGTTTTATTTAATTTCCAGAAATAAATCTTGATTGTTTTTACACCATGGACCTAAGCCTGAGTGTGATGAATCAAAACAAGGAATAAAAGTAGAACACGGAGAGCTCGAGCAAGAACCCTCACAAGTACAGATATCAATGGCAGCTGGAAATAAACCTTCTCTCCAACTATGTAGTCTTTTTTCCAACTGCATTCCAATATGATACCAGTAGTGCACTCTCTCATAAAAATAATAAGTAGCTCACCTGCTCTTCTCAAACTGATTGTACATTATTCTTGCTAAGGGTCTCCATACCTTTGATAGTTCAAACATTTATTTGCCAGTATATCTAGAATACCTTAAAGCACTAGCAGGCTAAACATATATTTAATATAATACGAGTCAAACATGTGAAGAACAGATCATTTACCTATCACTGTGGTTCTTCAAGTGGTCATCTGTTAACTCTCACACGCATTATGTGCCTGTACGCAACTGTCTTTGGAATGTTCCAGTGGCTACCAGTTTTTCAGATGGGCCCAACCCCATGTCCAACATGTGTGTCCAAGACCACCAGATAGTCTTCAACTCAGTTTCAATCTACTACCTCATTAAAATCTAGGAAGCCCAAGATGCAGGAGGATTGTATGAGATCACAGATCACCACTTGAAGAATCAAAGTTAGAGTTACAGGCAAGCAACTTTCACAGTTAATTATCTTCCTTACTGCTTGTTATCTGTCATGTTAAATTAGCTGAAAGGACTGCCCATAAGCGGTTTCACTCTTTTGCTCTCATATCAAGTCTGGGTTATTAAATTTAACGATAGTGCCCATGCAGCTGCTGTACATGCGTCCTCTAACATTATTCCCCTTATAAATATTGTAACCGTATTCACTTTGAATGCAGTTGAAGAAGGTGTATCTCTTACAGAATGACTATACGCTGCTTCTAACATTAGCTCACAAGTAAGCTGATATGCCAGTTTTATGGTAGTCACTATCCATTTAGCCAAGCATTGGGGAGAAACTGGTTGGCCCTTCTGAGGGCCTTGGTACAGTACAAAAACTTTGTTTCTAAGGCTGTGTTCTGTATAGGTAGAAGGCCAGCTTTTAACTAATGTCCAAAGTATGCACTACCTTTTCTAGTACTGCAACTGGGAATGTGTAAAAGTTTGGTAAAATTATTGGATGTTTCAAATGGAAATCAGAAACAACATAGACATTTGATTAATCTCTCATCTCACCTTCATTCTGTTAAAGCCCCTGCCACCTTTATTCATCTTTTCTGCCTGTTATCCTGTCTGCCAACTCCTCTCATTTTTTCGGTTTCTGTTGTCTGACTTGCCCCCTGACTTTCCTCTGTGTTTACCCTGACCTTCCTATGCCTGCAACAAGTAAAAATAACAAAAAGCTTGAGGGTGCCCAAATATGTGAAGCAGACCACAGCAGATGGAATACTTGGCTGTTTGCAGCATATCTGACACATATGTCTAGGTGGGATCCTATGTAGTTCCTCATGGCAAAATTAGGACTGCAACTCTTTGCACAGTTACTTGAAAGTAAAGCTGACCACAATGGGACTTAGAATTAAATATGCATAGTGTTGTCCTGCCACTACCCAACCTGACACACGCAGCAATCTCTTATATAAATACATTTTTAAAACAAGTAAGAGAATAACTGCCCAGAGTAGACTATGTCTAAATGGGCAGCATATAAGCTCGATAGATAGATAGATTAGATAGATAGATTAGATAAATTAGATAGATTAGATAGATTAGATAGATTAGATAGATAGATAGATAGATAGATAGATAGATAGATAGATAGATAGATAGATAGATAGATAGATAGATAGATAGATAGATAGATAGCAGATAGATAGAGACAGTAGATAGATAGAAAGATAGATAGATAGATAGATAGAGAGAGAGAGAGAGAGAGACAGAGAGAGAGAGAGAGAGTGAGAGTGAGAGTGAGACAGAGAGACAGACAAACACAGTCAGACAGACAGAGAGACAGAGAGACAGACAGATAGATAGATAACCCTTTGCCTGCCTCAGGGAAAGGTCAAATCAGCTTCACTCCCTTTCACCAGCGAGCCCCCAGAAACTCCCTTTCTTTTTTTCCATCCTATTTTAAAATATTTTTAATAAACATTTCAAAATATACAGCATTTCAGATAACTGTAAATATTCCATGGCATAACTACGCCAATGAAAGGCAAATGGTGTAACTTGCAGTGGTTTCTTGCTGGCAATTGAGGAGATCCTACTTGGATTTTCAAACATGCACCTATTCACTGGACTAGTGTACACCTGATAATACAAGGAGGGACTTGTTAATTAGTAGCAAGAAGTCACTGAATTACACAGTTTGTCTTCTGCAGGTGTAACTAAACAGCACAATTTTGGCCATTAAAGTTGTAAAACATTAGAATTATAATTCAACAATTGTTTGTTCATATCAAATCAAGTATTAGAACATATAAATAATAATTTTCCAAGCAAGAGCCATGTCTCTGCATGTTGCCAAAAGGAAAAAAACCCAAAACAAAACACTGTAGTACTCCAAAGCCTATTTCAGTGTGAGCTTTTGTATATCAAGGTCTACTTCCTAAGACAATGGAGTACAGTGGTGCCCCGCATGACGATAATCCATTCCAGGAAAATCGCTGTGAAAAACAATTCCCCATTGGAACGCAATGAAACCCATTTAATGCGTTCCAATGGGGAAATTACCTCGTCATCCAGCGAAGATCGCCCATAAGGGAAGCCATTTTTCGAGCGCCAACCAGCTGTTAAAATGGTTGCCCTGTGAAGCATGGGTCCGGAAAACACAGGGCAGCCATTCTGCGGAGCCAGAAAAATAGTCGTTTTGCGAACAAACGGTTCATGAAGAACCTAATTTTTGTTAAACGAAAATCCCCCATACGAAATAAAGTCATTGTCATGCGATTTTGTCGTTCTGTGGAGTCGTCGTCATGCGGGACACCACTGTATAAATACATGGCCTATACTGTATATGTATGAATATCTACATGACCAGATTAGGATACAAATAACATAACAATTTAACTATCGAGCAGTTAAATTACTCAATTAATAGATTCTGGCCACAACAATAGCTGTGGGACAGGTGGACTTGGTTGCCATATGAATACTAAGAGACGTCTCTGGGACAGAGGACAGTCTGTAAAGGGAAGCAACCGTATTATGTTATTGTTTTTGTCCTGTCCCATCAAGTTGGAACTGACTTATAGCTACCCTAACAGAGCTTTCAAGGTAAGTGATATATTTAAAGAGTAGTTTTACCAGGTCCACACACACAACTACCATGAGTTTTCATGATGGAGCAGGGATTCAAATCCCGGTCTTCTGAATCCCAGTCCATCACTCTACCTACTACAACATACTGGGTACCTAACTCTTTTATATCCATATTATATCACAGAAAACTGGTTTATTAATATATATTGTATGCTGAGAAGAGTTGATCTCTACTCAGGCCATTAGAGATACACTATAACTTATCTGTGAATTTGTCTACAGTTATCATTTTGACCAACACCTGTTAACTGATGTTATTAACCATGCTGACAATGTTTCAGTTAAAGGAGGAAGTTACATTGACTGTACAGTATAGTACCTTGGTTTACAAAATTAATCAGTCATCCAGGACGTTATGTAATGTGGAAATTATGCAAACCAGAACACGGACTGCCATAGCAATGGGGGCAGCGCTAGAAACCTCCATCCTTTTCATACAGTCACACACACACACACACACACACACACACACACACACACACACACCATAAAAATGTAAACTGAGGCATTATTTCTTACGGATTTTGGTTCATAAACCGAAAATTTTGTAAACCGAGGTACACCCATATCACAATAGAGTTGTTGTTCAAACTGCCATTAGTCCTGAAAATCTTAACAAAATTACCTATCACTTTTTAAAAAAAAGTCAGTCTGGCCTACTGAAATCATTCAGAGAAAATACTGCAATACATTAAACAAAATATTAATACATACCTCCTAGAAATTTCTGAAGGGATTCCACATAGTGACGGTAACTTCCTGAGTCATTTTTGATAAGTGAAAATTCCAGTGCATTTTCTGGCTTTGGTGAAATCATAAGCCCTATCAAAAGAAGTCCAAAGCTATATCTTACTCCAGATTTCCAACTTGATATAATCATAATGAACTGCATAATTTCTATATTATACATTAAATCTCTAAGCAATAATTCTTTAATAATTAATGAATATCCAAATAATTTCAATGCCACAGTTATACCGATTTGAGCACAGACTGTTTTATACTAAGTGATGTGTTTTTCTTTTTTAAGGAGTAATAACAGAACCATCTAACCACTTATTCTGCTAATAAGCATTAGCCTTCAAATAGCTAGAGCTTATCTACTGCTTATGCTTTAGAAAATGAAATGCAAATATTAAAAGTGAGGCATGCAGTCTTGCTTGTATCGTGATCTATACTGAACCATAGCTTTCCAAATTTTAAGAATATGCAGTATCTCTAATGCAGTTTCATAATCTAGATGTTACTTTTTAAATCAGTCAAATTTTTATAGTAATTGAGGAATGATGACAATTCTAATTCTGCTAAAAGATTTTTACAAGCTGAAACCAGATGGTCAGATTTTAGTACTTTTGAATATCTGGAAATGTGAAGGACATGCAACTCTGCCAAAACAACTGTAACACCTCATATTCTATAGGGAAGATTCCTTCATTAAACAAGGTTGACCTGAAACACCTGAATCTTTGTTCCTATGTGACTCTACATGTCCGTCTCCTCAAGGAAGGTGAGTCTTCACATGCAGCACTATTTCCTTCCAGTTCTAGAACTATAGAGATGTGAAGCGACTGACTGCCTCAGAGCACCAGGAATGCATTGACATTACAAAGCAAAAATAGTAAGCCCTCCTGCTCAGGAAAACACAAGGATGAAGGGAGCTCCTGGTTGGCAATGAAAGAAACTTGGCATGTAGCAATGCAGATATCAGTAGGCTTCCCACCTCTCAGAGGTAAAGGCAGCTTTCTTCAGCCATTGTTCGGCAGAGAGATTCAGAGCATCTCTGTTAAGAATCACCAAAGCCTGCATGCTTGCTGGGTGACTTTCCCAAAGAGAGTTTCTTTGCTTATCGGTAGAGGCATTTCTTTCCATTATGTGAGGACAAGGGGAGGATCTGATTCAGCTAACTAGATGAATTAAGCAAGTACTGTAGACTCCCACATTTGCCACCACATTAGAAATAACAACCCTATAGTCTGCTTGAACAAGACAAAGGATGAAGAACCATCAAGTAGCCAGAAACACAACCTCTTACTTATTTATGAAAAATTATATTAAGTTTTTAATTTTATTTAAAATTTGTTTATACTCATTTCTCCTTAAAAAGAACCCAAAGTGGCTTACATCATTAGAAACAATATTCAATATCTGCACATACATGTACAAATATTAAATAAGAATCAAATACTGTACCACACTAAAAATGATAACCAAAATTAAGATCAAAAACACATTCAAAGCAACAATGAAACAACACTCGATTTAAACCCCCCTCTGACAGCCAATCACTAAGGGAAAGCTTGTCTGAAAAGAAAGATCTTTGCCTGATTGCAGAAGCCACTCTGGCTTCCTGTGGAAAGAGAGTTCCAAAGTCTGGGAGCAGGAACAGAGATGGCCCTCTCCTGTGTCCCTATCAGATGCACTTGTGAAAGTAATGGAACCAAGAGAAACGCCTCTTGTGATTATCTTAATGGGCAGGCTCATAAAGTCAGGTGCAGTCCTTGGACTCAAGCCATTAAGGGCTTTATAAGTTAAAACCAGCACTTAAAATGTGACTGGAAAAGGATCAGCGGCCTGTGAAGCTGCTGTACCAAGCAAGGGAGTCAAGTGATCCCTATAACCAGCTCCCAGTTAACAATCTCGCTGCAGCATTTTGGACTCACTGAAATTTCTGAATACTTTCCAAAGGTAGCCCCGCACAGAGCATGTTAAACCAATTAAGCTGGAATGTAACTAAAGTATGTGTTATCTCCATGAACAGGTGAGGCTGGTGCACTAGGTTTAACTGTGCAAAGGCACTCCTGGCCACTGCCAAAACCTGTACAACCAAGCTCACACAGAAATCCAGAAGCACCCCCAAGCTGGTCAACCTCTATTTTCAGATGGAGTGTATATATCTCTATATTATTATAATTATTATTATACCTGAAGGACCGCCTCCTTCCATATGAGCCTACCCGGCAGTTAAGATCTAGCCAGGGGGCCCTTTTGAAAGAGCCGTCCCTCAAGGAGGTAAGAGGGACGGCTTGTAGACAAAGGGCCTTTTCGGCAGCTGCCCCCAGACTATGGAATGCCCTCCCGACTGAGATTCGTCTGGCGCCGACACTGATGACATTTCGGCGCCAGGTCAAAACCTTCCTGTTCCAGAAGGCTTTTAATTGAAATAACATCAACTGTGGGTCCTGATGGCAATTTTAATTGTATTTAATCATTTTATCTTTCATTGTATTTTAATTGAATTTTAATTGTTGTAAGCCGCCCAGAGACCTTTGGGTAGAGTGGGCGGCATATAAGTTATATATATAATCTATTACACAGTTTGCACTGCACAGCATAAGGACATGCCCAACTCATTCTGGCTTATGCTAAGCATTTACTGACCAACGTGTCCTAAGCCGTCTGTTTTAATCTGTGTAAAGTGTTATGATTAGAGATGGGCACAAATGGTTGGTTTAGCAGTTTGGTGGGTGCAGTTTGTTTCCTAGCCAAACAGCTGATCCTTGGTTTGGCAACCTGCCCCTTCCAGCGGGTGCCCACTTGGCAGCAGCATCCTGCCCCACCTTCTACAGGCGCTGCGACTGAGTGGGCACCCACTAGAGGGAGCAAGGCGCCCAACCGCAGATCAGCTGTTCAGCCAGGAAACAAACCACACCAAAAACTAGCTGTTCATGCCCACCTCTAGTTATAATACGACAGCTGTCCATAAGTCTCCTGTTCTCCTTTATCCATTTTAATTTTTAAAGAAATGTTAAAATGTTTGTACCAGCCTGCCCAACTCTTATCACATATGTTCTAAAACAAATGGCAATACTGCACACAAGAAATTCAAAAGCTCAGTGTAATGGTCACAGTGGTATAAGTTTAGAACAGTGGTTCTTAACCTTTGTTACTCGGATGCTTTTGAACTGCAACTCCCAGAAACCCCAGTCAGGACAGCTGGTGGTGAAGGCTTCTGGGAGTTGCAGTCCAAAACTCCTGAGTAACCCAAGGTTAAGAACCAGTGGTTTAGAACACATATTTTATGTGAAAAGAAGAATATATTCTTACCTGGACTAGCAATCCGATCACGATATTTGGGTATATCACTACTCAATGTCTGAAGCATAACCCACATTGTGAATGTAAAGAGTGCAGCTAAGAAGCCATAAAATACGAGATAAAACAGCAAAATCAAGCCTGGAAGAAGAAGAAAAAGTTAGAAAATGTTCCAAGTAAACTCATGAAAAGTTCTTTTTATCTTTTGACTATTCGCATTTGGAAGCCAAAACGTTCAGTTGAAATCTGATACCAACCACATGGTAATCAAAAGGAAACACAAAATATTGCAATATTCTTTCTCCCCAATTTCTATCCTGATACAGTATTTCAATTTTTACATCTATTTTAGAACCGGAGCCAATAAATATTCATTTTATAATGTGTGCAGGAGATATCCCAGTCTGCTGGAGCGAAATATTTAAATTTTGTAGAAGCCACATTGACCAAGTTATCCTATCTTAAAGTTCTGCTATTTTAGCAGAGAAAGATTACATTTAATCTGTCACTGTGCCAGCATAACAGTATACAGTAGTGAGTTGCTCTCCAAGTGCAACCTCCAACTACCCACTGTCTTTACTGCTTAGCAAAGATGGTGGGTAGTTGCTCAGGTACAACATAATTCAATGGATTCCATCATAGCTTTGAGCCTTGAGTACTTATCACCTGTGCAGCAATGCCACTTTTGGATAGTTAGTCTTTAGTGGTTCCCAGACTAGAAAATCATCTAGCCCAAGGCAGACCAGATCATTCCTTATGGTGCGCAGTCCATTGCAAAACCAAAGATCTCATCCAGATACTGCAGAAACTAGTATTGTATTCCTTGTTCTTGTGTCCCTTGTTTTTCACCGGCCCATCTATTATTCATTACACTGCAAATTAATACATCCCCACAACCACCATGTGCTGTGAATTTCTGGTTAGGTAGACCTATGTTCCTGTGTTTAGGTTGTATTTAAATTCTTAGACTCTGCACTCCTGATGCAGCAAATAGACAGTAGGAGAAACAAAGACATATGGCTGAAATCGAAGAGAAAACAAAAATAAATTCTTGGGGAAAACACTAGCATAAGTCAGGATCAGATCCTAAATTAGGTAGGCAGGGGTGCATGTAACACAGACTCAAAGAGAGAGAGCATAATCCTGATCACTGCAAGAATTAATAACCAATGGGACTGAGAGAACTACATGGTGCAATAAAAGAGGTAGACTACCACTTATAGATGGGAAGCCTTCATAAAGTATTTGACTATACTTTTAATATTAGACCAATCAACTAACTTGACTCCTAACCCCAAGAGGAGCTGCAGTCGATCACATCTGCAGGAACTGATTTGTAAATATCTATATGTTGGTATCTATGGCCTGCAAAATAAAAGTACTAAAACCATTTAAAATTTTAAAAAATGTCATGTTCTGGTTTTCTTATTTAAAAACTAAAAATTTCCCATGCCTGTCTATCACCTGCTGAAAATATTAATAACCATTCCAAAAAGCATTTCTCATGGTAAGAGATCTTCCTTGCCACCAAGAAGTCTTACACAAAGAAACAAAGTTGAAAACAATCTTAGTGAAAATGAAGTTAATTTTACATTTATGTAACTACTAGATCACTGTTACTGTCCTTTCCATAACTAGTTCACATGCAAATGTAAACCATAGTTTTGCATTAGGAGAACAACCTGCAGCAAATTATAGACTCCTAACTTTTCTCTTTTGCAGGATCAAAGCTTTTGATTCTATTTAGATTAATTAAAGCATAGTACTGCTGCAAAGCAGCCTTTGGACCAGCATAGATGAATAGCATCACCACATACCTCAGTCAAATTGAAGTTAATTAACATGACCCATGGAAAAACAAAGGCTTCAGGTGGAGACCAGGAACCCTGTGGAGCTCTGAGGAACTAAATCACCTCTAAACCCCACCTGACAAAAACAATGTTTTTAACAATTGGAGGCCAAAGGCAAAGAACATGGGTCAGGTTCCAACATGGAAAAACTGCTGGTCTTATGACAGCCATCAAAATCCATAGCAGTATTCTTGCAAGGCAATGAAAAACAATGATATTTTATCTGCCAAGAACACCTATCACGGCTAGACGGAAATGTTAAAATTCCCTCAGTCTATGCAGGCTTTAGATGGCCAGAGGGTACTCAGAATATCCAGACTAGCATCAGATTAGTACTGTCTATATATACTGGGTATACTGACTTGTATCCTATTAAGCTTCTGAACTACTAGCTGAGTTGACACGTCTCACCATGATAGTAATGTTGAATTATGCCACACATGCAAGCAGTGCCACTGCACAAACAGTGAGCTCCATGAACAAAGCTTGCTCTCCATTAACTTATGGCAGTGCTGACAGATGGCATGAGCCCACAACACTGTTTTAGCTGGACGCTACACTCAACAGAAATTCAAAAGGATATAGTTACAATCACAGGAACAAACAACATTAAGCAAAGCTGTTATAAAGTTCATTACAAATTCAGACCAGGCAATGCTCAATGACCACAGCCACCAACGTCATATAAGTGCATGACTGAAATGTCAATGAAGACAAAGAAATCAAATTCTATGAAGAACTGAAAGGTGTAATTTTACACACACACACACACACACACACACAAATCTGACAGTTCTAAGTTTAACGCCCCTCAGACACACACACACAAATCTGGCAGTTCTAAGTTTAACGCCCCTCAGTTAGACACACACACACACACACACACACACACATGCAAACCTGGCAGTTCTGTGTTTTTTTTTAATTTAAATTTCCTTCAACTAAAACATCAGCATACAAAAACAAAACAAAACAAAAGAAGAAGAAGAAAAACCCTTCTACTAATCTAAGCCCTCCCCCTTTGGAGTCAGAGACTCTAGCCTCCTTAACCCTCTGCTCTCCCCAGTTGGGTTTCCAAATTGTACTGAATACATATACTGTACATGTATAGTCAAATTTACCCTACACTCTTGTCCTCCTCTGGACCCAAGATAGCAATACTGAAAGAAATAAAAAATATTATATCCTAGTTAATTAGGGTTACATTAAACCAAATCATATTCCTTCTATCATTTTAATTTCCTCTAATTAAAGAAATATGAAATATGAGCACAAAAATTACATTGGTATGAACTGTAGTAAAGTAGTTAATTCATGAACGTACCAATAAGATAGCATATTCAAATATAAATGCTGCTTGCTCTAGCCTTACAGAGGTGTTAATAGATAGGACCAAGAATCTCAAAAGAAGAAATGTAAGTGAATATAAGAAATTACTGACAAGAAATACATTAGAAATAGTGTAACAGGCACAAAATGGAGAATAAAAAACAAAAACAAATGCAGAGAATTACACAAAAATATCTTAAATAAAATCTTTGTCGTTGTTTAATCGTTAAGTCATGTCTGACTCTTCGTGACCCCATGTACCATAGCACGCCAGGCCCTCCTGTCTTCCACTGCCTCTCACTTCCATACATTGCTACTGGAAAAACCATAGCTTTGACTATGTGGACCTTTGTCAGCTAGGTGATGTCTCTGCTTTCTAAGATGCTGTCTAGGTTTCTCATCGCTTTCTTCTCAAGAAGCAGGCGTCTTTTAATTTCATGGCTGCTGTCACCATCTGCAGTGAGCATGGAGCCCAAGAAAGTAAAATCTGTCACTGCCTCCATCTCTTCCCCTTCTATTTACCAGGAGGTGATAGGTCCGGTGGCCGTAATCTTGGTTTTTTTTTTATGTTGAGCTTCAGACCATTTTTGGCACTCTCCTCTTTCACTCTCATTAAAAGGTTCTTTAATTCCGCCTCACTTTCTGCCATCAGAGTGGTATCGTCTGCATATCTGAAGTTACTGATATATCTTCCGGCAATCTTAATTCCGGTTTGGGATTCATCCAGTCCAGCCTTTTGCAGAATGTATTCTGCAAATAAGTTAAATAAGCTGGGGACGATATACAGCCTTGTCGTATTCCTTTCCGAATTTTGAACCAATCAGTGTTTCCATATCCAGTTCTAACTGTTGCTTCCTGTCCCACGTATAGGTTTCTCAGGAGATAGATAAGGTGGTCAGGCACTCCCATTTCTTTAAGAACTTGCCATAGTTTCCTGTGATCCACACAGTCAACAGCTTTTGCGTAGTCAATGAAGCAGAAGTAAATGTTTTTCTGGAACTCTCTGATTTTCTCCATAAAAATAAGGAACTCAAAAAAACATGTCCAAACACTGTACAGAAATAAAAAACTAAAAAGAAGATCTACAACTTCCTGTGCAGACATATTCCAAAGGCAACAATGTCTATCCCAATGGAAAATAATATTCTCTGACACCAGGCATCAAGGACAAAACAGAAATAGAATGTCAATACTAAATCAGAAATCCAGACTCCAGAAAACTAATATGCAATATGGATAACAAAAACAGCAACGTTCCTGTATAAGTATTTAAGTTCACTGAAGACTATGAGATGTGTAAGTATACCTTTTCAATTCAATGTATCCACATTTCTAAAATACCTCAAAATGAAAACACCAAAGCATACAGAGACTACAAAATCTTAAGTTTAATGAGGCACTTGCTTGAAGTTTTCTTTAAAATAATATATGGCATAATTTGTAAGAAGTACAAAGAATGAGCAGTAGGCACAATATTATGATCCAGAAAAGGATTCCAACCCAAAGAAGCACTATTCTTCCTATACGTACTTGAGGAGATATATTGTGAGATGAACATGGATATATAATGTTTACTTTACTGCCTATGAAAAAGGCTTTGACAAAGTACAACACAGTGAACTAATCAGATGGGCAGACTACATCAAAGTCTTGGTTCAAGATGTATCTGTTCATGGTCAACCTGTACTGGCAACAAAAATGAAGATCAGATTATAGAAAATATAAGTGATACAAAGGAAGTGTTTAACAAGCATACTCTCGCCACTGCTTTGCAATTTTTACTCCAAGCACATCTTCAGAAAAGAACTTGCTAGCTAAAATCCTGCTTTAGCTAAAAAAACCAGGATGTTTTTCTGGAACCCTCTGGCTTTCTCCATAATCCAGAGCATGCTAGCAATTTGGTCTCTAGTTCCTCTGCCCCTTTGAAATCCAGCTTATACTTCTGCGAGTTCTCAGTCCACA